TTTTTTAAAAAACCGTTCATCAAACGAATCAAACACAGGCGTTTACGCATTGTACATTAGCACAATGCAAAGACTTAGTGAGGGGGACATTGGGGGGCTCTGAATACCGCAATACCGCAAAAAAAATTCAAAAATCCCGCATTACCGCATGAAAAAATCGATTAGAAAAATTAGATCTGCAAGCATTTTTCTCGCAATACCGACATTTTAAGCGATTTTTCCCGCAATACCGCATCTTAAAACTTCAAATACCGCATATCGCACAAAATACAAATCCCGCATTATCGCATTTATTTTGCCAAATTACCGCAATATCGCATGAAAAAACGGTCAATCCCGCAATCCCGCAAACCCCAATGTCCCCCTCCTTAGTGAGAAAGGCCGATGACTTTGACTTGATTTGAATATATGAAAGCAAAAGTTAAATTGGCGTCGTTTGTTTTACCCTCCCCCGCAATAAAACGGTTACTGGAGTTATTGAGCGTTGTAACACCTTAGACAATATGACAAGACGCCAAGCGATGAGGACGCCAAACATAAAAACTCATTAAAAACTCAAATAAATAAAATTGAGAAACATCGTTACTTTCTCATTCCAAAAACCTAGAAAGGCATATTGTGTATTATACGGACATRAACTGTATCTTAAAAACGATGTACTTGTGTCAATATACATCAAGAAAACAATGACATATTTGATATATGTATAAAAAAACTGACCAGTCTCTTTCGCTGCATGGCAAAAGGAAAGGCTACGAAAACACACACATTATTGAGACCTTGGATGAAAATCAAAAATTACATGAAAAATTATAATTAGGATTAGATTTTTTGTGATTGATCTACTATAATTGTTCATTAAACTTCATAAAACTCAGTCTATACAATGCAAAATAAAGAAGGAGTACAATGAGTCTAAACTATTATTCTATCATACGGTTTTGAAAAGGTTTTTAGTGGATAGTATAAGCAAAAAAACTCTATTTTTGTTGAATTTTATCAGAAAGACCTCGACTTTATAATGACTACCATGTTTTTATGTACTCAAATCGGTTTTTGAACTATATTTTTTGATATCAAGGCAGGTTATGATCGGTATCTTTGATGTTGTTTGGCAGCACAGAGCAAACAAAAATTGTACAAAGTGATTTTCGCTTCATATTTCTTCACAAATAAACGTATTTTGTACACCACAAAACCTCTCTACTCCCTAAACATATCAAACACTACATGAAAAATATCAGCTTAACCGACAGACAGAGAAAACCACGTCATTTGGTTGTTTGCTGTTGCTACGACGACAAACGCGCTATTTTTGTAGTTTGTGGCCGTAGGTGACCAGTTACGTACGGAAAACTTACGTAAACGCAGTAATCCTTTGAATTTAGATCAGAAATAATCAGTTTTACGTTACGTCTACGTAATTGCGGGTTATTAATAGTCCTGAGAGCCCTTTTGTTTCCTAACTCATTACGCTACCATGCCGGATTGATGTCTAAGGTACTTTATTACGTCACTGTTTACACCTGRACCACTCTATAAATAGTGGGTGGGCGAGTTTGTTAGTTCAAACAACGACCAATCCAGGTCATTCCAGGAAAAGTATTTGGTACTAATTTGGTATAAAAAGGTAAGGTGAAATTTAGCTATAAAATATCCTTTATGTACATAGTTAGAATAGAGTTTTTTGAAGTTTTACTGTAAGCATTAGTTAATAAAGCTCATTAACACTAACTTAAAAGTTACCGTGCAATATCATTCAAGAAAAACCGTTAAAATTACAGTAAATTTTCACAAGACAGGTAAAAACATTTCAAATGYAAAGCGAAGTATGCACTGAACAACAATTGAGCAGTTATGCATTATGGAAAGTGAAAAAATATCCCGTAAAAGCAAAAACATTTGAGTTAGATATATGTAGCGCAAAATAGATTTTTTAATTCGAATTTATACAATAATCTTAGAATATTTATGCTCGCATAAGATCTCATTTTTAAGACACTAATTACGAAACGAGACAATTTTCTAAACTGTTACTGGTAAAATGACCAATATTTCCGCGTAATTTCATAAAATGTACATTTAGTCCGCGTAATATTTCTAGTTTGTTTCGCTCTGCTGAAGTGGACGCTATTTTCAATTATCAAAAGCTGATCCCCTGGGAGGGTAACAAGGAGCAGTCTTCCGTGCAAACAACGCAAACTGTCAATTGAGTGAAGCCATCAAACCCCCTTAAACACATACTAGACTATGGCCCTAACTCACAAGTATCCGGATTTTTTTCCACACTAGCTTAAAATCTCGCTCGTGGGTCTACTTAAGTTTTGACCATTTTAGGACGTCAAGAGTGTGTCATTAAAGGTAGACATAACTCAAAACTGTGCGCAATGTGTTAATTTGTTCATTTGCCTTAGGTCACACACAGCTGGGTCTAATGCACCTTGATTGTCGAGTATTTTTTGCTTTGTAAATATAGTTAATCATTATTCCCTGATTAATAATAATTGTTATTTCTACCACACAGAATAACACTTACAGTCATTGCTGCTCCAATCAAGTTCACATCGACGATGAGAGTGAGTACATCAAGTAGATACGCCGTTTTTCTGATCCTTCTCGTCCTAGGGCAAGAGTTCTGCGCCGGTCACCCTTTCTCAGTMAGCTCCCTGAAAGATCGACGCATAGAGAAAAGAGGTTTGAACATAAAAAAATCACTTTGAAGCACAACATTTATTTGAAGTGGTCAAGAACAGGGTGAGGTCATTAATCCTGTGAAAAAAAATTCGAACATTTAAGTGTGATAGTCATATCGACACAAGAATGCCAAAGTGTAATACTGTAATATCAATGGAGTTTTTGATTTCACTCATTTTTTGACTTCAAACATTTTTTCCTGGCTACATTCAGTCAAGGAACGAAGTAATCTGTTATTGAAATATTTGCTCAATGTCCATTTTTTGTGGTTATAGCACTAAATGACTTGATTCCGCCCTTAAATTGTCCAATTATTAATCTAGATAATCATCATAAATTTATTATCGTTATTACTTGAGTTACAAAATACTTATTTTTATTTTGCATTATTAGAAACTGAAGAAGATAATGCAGTTCAAGTAAAAATCCGACAAAAACGTAAGTATGGTCTGATGGAATCTTTCCTGGAAATGACTTCCTGGACACTGAATGGTTATACTTTTTCCAACTTCAGCCACTTACTACGTAATGTATAATTGGACAATGTATGTGATTTTGACAGCCACAGAAGCGTACAATTACTGTGAGTCTTAGGTGCTATATTCTGAAACAATGTTTCATTTTATAGGGGCAGTTTCTTTGGCCGTGGTAMTACTGACAGTGACATTCTCGACAGCTCTTTTGACCGTGGGTTTCGAGGTCTACCTCAGCATCAAGGGATGTTGTGGGCTTTATCCTGAAGCTTGCACACAAGCGACTGCAGTAGATAATTATATCAAAGAATGGGATGCTAAGAGTAAAGCCGTGGATGAACTTTTTCTTCAAGGTAAGTTCGTTACCTAGGTAGTTAYCTAGATGGGCTCTCACTGGCAGTGTGACGAGCAAATTGTGGAYAGATGCAAATATGAGAAAAAGTGGATGGAAATAAGGAAACGGAAAAGGAAAATTGCATAAAGCGATAGCAAAAAAAATTGCAAAAGGGGTTGAAGAGGTTTTGCCACTAACTGGATAATTATGGCTTAAATTTGATGGTTAAAAAATGTCATATCACACGATTATGCAGTTATCATCCTCGGAACCCAGGAGTAATTCCAGGAAATATCATTTCTGGAAGTGAGGAACAAACGCCAGAAGATTCGCCAGGTTCCCAAGGATGAGCAGAGAGAACGAGAATCTTTTAAGTTGGGGATAAATAGTAAACTAAATTCATTGTTCCGTTCTGTAAAAAACAATCGATTGAACTTAATGATTTCTTTTTTCAGCAACAAATCTCCAAGAAGATGTCTTACAGCACAACGACAAGGCCAACGAAATCTTCATCAACTTAGTGTCAATCTCAAGTGGCCAGGAAGAGACGCTGAATCTGCTGTCTCCAGAAACGGCARAACTATTCGAGAAAGAATGGAAAGAAATTGAGGTAAACGTTGTAGGCGCAGTAAAGAAACAAAAAATTAATTGATTAATAAATTAAACACAGAGATACATCTGATAAAAATAGAAAATCAGAAATCTTAGTTACTACTCATTCTAATGTATAAATGTACTATTTACAAAAGGTAATGCTTTTATTTTTCTAATTGTACATTATAATTTCTTTCAGCAAGCTCTGGATTCTGGCAACACAACTGTGGCCAATTGGTCTTATGATGAACTMAACACTAAGTTTGAGTCTTATTTCAAAACTCCTCACAGTGCACTAAACKGGCTGCAAAACTTTCTCTCACAAACTGCAGCTGTGACTTACACTGTTTGGAGAGAAAACTACTTGAGGAATTACCAAGCTAAGGTATTTAAAATACAGCAGAATAATGTCCTTTAAAGTTTTTAAAAAGTCTGTAAGACCCTGGTTACGTGAGGTAGGGTGGTGCCTCCTAGATGGGATAGTTAATTCATTTATATTATGAAACGCAAAAAAACAGATAGCACTTCTCCAAGCGGTACCCTACCTCATAAATAGACGCTTCTTTCGTGCTTTAAGTTTAGTGTACAATTTAGCGTACCATACTCTTTTTTTATTGTGCACACTTTTTTTTTGTATTTCCGTTTATCATTCATTATTGCATTTGTTCATATCAGTTTTACAGGCCTATACATGAAGAGTTATTATGTAGTGTTTAAAAAACGAGCAGGAGTGCTTTATCGGGAGATATAGACACGAGGCCGAAGGCCCATCATGTGACCCAATAGTTCGATGCTCATTGGACTAATAGYTCATGAATTATTAATAAGTTCTAGAATATGATTTATTATTGATTAACGATTATTACTAATCATTACATAATCCTTCCCCAGCACATGCAGAGGATCAACAGCGGTCCATCAAGATTTCAATTACTCAAAGCCCAGAACACCAAAGCCGCTAAATTGATTGGAATGGAAAAAATGAGAATAAGTGCGTTYGCTAARAAAACTGCACACGAACGTACGGTAGCCAAATACGGGGGTGGAAAATATGCCCCCCTTCTCACTGCCTACAGCGTTGTCAGTACTGCTTGGTCTCTAGGTGAGTAAGAAATTAAGATTTATCTCAGCTCAACAATCATTAATCAATCAGTTAATCAGTCACTATAATCAATCAATTAATCAAACATTGAGCAAATGAGTCAATTATCAAGGTATCGATTTAGCTCCCAATGAATCAATCCATCAAGCAATTAGTCAAAGAACCAATCAATTAATCAATCAAACATTTAGCAAATGAGTCAATTATCAAGGTATCAATAAATCATCTAATGAATCAATCCATCAAGCATTAGTCAATCACAGATTAACTGATAAGCTGTCAATCTGTCATATTTAGGAATGTTATAAGGAATTTATATCGGACAATTAAAGTGAGACATTCGTTCTTAATTCAAAACATAGGAACTGATGCCTATAGAATCTACCGGAATGTTAAACAATGTAAACAAAAACGTGACTCAGTCAATAAGATCTATACTGAATTCAAGCGAGCTGATGATGAAATGAACTCCATAACAGATTATTCAAATGAATATATCGCCAACTTGACAGAGGTAAACATACTGTTTATTTCATTTATTTACTAAGTACAGCCTGCCCCTCACGAACGAGGATTATTGGCTTGGGGGGACAGTAATGCAGTACCAATTGAAACCTGCTTTTTGATTGCTCCTTAAGTACAGCACGACTATTGTTAGGTTAGGTTTTGTTATATTGTTGGAAGACTTATCTATTGTTTGTCCATTGTTTTCTCAACCTATCATGAGACCCGTTCCGATCGGTGCTACCTGGCTCTGGGGGGAAAAAGGGAAAACGGAATGAGGTCACGGATGGTACGGGCGGGGGAGATTATCTTTCTCTGATGATGATGATCATGATGAGCAGGAGAATGAGAAGGATTATGGGGAAGAGGGGGATGATGAAGATTACCATTATGCTTATATGGAAAGGGAGTGAGAAGGATAAATTAATGATAATAAGGATTGATGAGGATGATTATGATGCAGTGATTAACAGGTAGATTATGACGATGACTATGATTCCCCTGATGAAAAGGGGTATGAGGAAGGGGAGGGAGGGGTGAGAAAGAGTAGGAGAGTTATAAAGTTGATAATGATATTTCATGTAGTGTGAAATGGTATGCTCTATATAGATTAATCACAACTGAATATCTTATTAGTAAAGATTTTGTGATAGTACTCAGAATAAAGAATAGCACATTTATATTGCGACGTCATCTTGACTTAATTGTCAAGTATTTTTAATGGATTCAAATACTGTTCTTATAATGAATCGTAATGTTTTACGATATATAAGTACAGAATTTGAACCCATTAAGGATAACTGAATATTTTATTGATAAAGGGATGGAATGAAGTCAAGGACGTGCTAACAAACGGAAATCTGCTCGTGACACTTGAAGAAGCTGCCACTATTTCCAGCTCTGCCTCTCCACAAACAGCGCGTACCACACAAGCAACGCAATACATAGAAACCTACATCCTTTCTATTAACTCAACTATAAATACCAAYCCTGACCAGGCCTATGCGTTAGAGAAAGACCTCAATATCGGACTGATGACCGTCAAGCTGTTGACCAAGTGCTATAATAATAGAATCGGATTTGGCGTTTATGTCTCTGATATGTGCAAGACAGGAAGCGATACCCTTGAGAACCTGTACAATCAAGGCGCAAAGATCTACAAGGTAACACAAAATTACTAGCCTGGTCTAAGCACATTGGTTGGGATTTGCACTTTGAATCTTTTTTATCATTGCTATAATTCTACTTTGAGGGACACGCCCTGTATGGGAGAAAACTATAATGTCTTTTTAAATGCAACTTTTATGGCCAGCATATGAGTTAATATGRTTTATACAACTTTTCAGTAAAATCAGACGTTTTGATTGGTTGGCTTTCGTGTGTTATCAAAGTATAGATACACGGATTACGTCAAAACTAATTGTTTGTTGTATAAAACAGATAGATCTCATTTTTCCGTGCGTGTGTACTCTAATAGATACACAGATGACGTCAAAATGTAGTGAGAACAACAGTCACGCACTCGACTGYGTCTCGTGCATACTTTTTTGTTCTCACTACATTTTGACGTCATCTGTGTATCTATTAGAGTACACACGCACGGAAAAATGAGATCTATCTGTTAAATTGTCTATTTAGAATCACCCTATGTTATAATACCTATACTAACAAAAAAGCTGTTATGCAGAATACAACAACTAAATTTAACCCTAAAATAAACATTTTTCGACTGATTCTGTATTATAGAGTCCTGATGATAACTGTGAGAGCGAGGTTGGAGTCAGTGAGATCACTCTCGCAAACATGACAGACTACATCAATGAAAAAGCTACAACTGAAAACTACGATCCAGATTGCATTATCAATAGTCCAAGCAAACTGAACCAGGCTTGCAGGTAAGAGTAAACGATATATTTATAAACGATAGTTTAACAGTGATATCGAGAGGAAAGGATGCATGCAAGAGAAAGAAATGCATGAATGAATTTTGAAATGAAATATGCTACTAGATTCATGTGCAATAGAATATATGCATAGATTTTGGAATGAATAGATGAACAGAGGGTTGGATAAATGGAGGGCCAAATGATTGATGAAAAGAAAACATATTGTCATTAATGGATATCAAACATTTCTCTAGTCTAAACCACGATGGCTACGATGATGAGACCGTAAAGACAAAGATGGGCCTATCAATCAGCCAAGTTCAGAAGCTAATCTCTAAATGTACAACTCCTGACCTGACACCCAATGAAATCGACACAGTCTGTATTCTTCGTAACAATAATGACCTAACTAATGACCAGATCCTATTGTTACTTCTTGGTCACACCATCGAACAAATAAATGCAGTACATTGCCCATAAGTCATGCCAAACCAAAGATTTGGTGCCATGGTTTCAATTAACACATTTACAGTGTCAAGGATTGAATAAGGGTGTAATTTGCTTAACCCATGAAAAAATAGAAAAAAAAATCGAAATGTCCAAAGGCGTAATATCAGAGATTAGACAGAGTTACATAATCTTATTCCTATATTATCTTAGGTATCTCGTGTCTTCTTTGGTTGTTTTGCAGCTGTTTTTTATGTTTTGGAGAATTCCCATTATATTTAATATAAGCAATGTTTTATGTGAATATGTAYTGACTCATCAGTTTCAGAATTACTGTATTATCAATCATTTGTCAAAAATATTTTGTGTTAAGTTCTATTTAATAAATCACTTTTGCAAAAACTCTTGTGTATATCTAATTGCTAGCTTCCACCATTTGAACATTGAAAACAGCAATTCCAATTAAAATGAGCACTGTAAACCCATGAAACAAAACTCAATTGTCAAGATGTATTAGTCTAAACGAAACAGAAAAAAACAATGGACGGAGACTAAAACTTTCAATTTCACGATTTTAAAGCGCTCACCCGATGCTGCATGTTACAATAACATCGTGGTGAAAAAGAGAAAGAAAATTAAGAAAAAAAAATACAGAACGTACTACAATTTGGACACGAAACCCTTTACCGCCGTGAGATAAGTTAACTCTCGTTATACACGACACATTGGAGACTGTAATCAAACGCCCGCAATGGCAATGTGTCCGCTCCTAAGGGGGCCATTTCCAGAAATTTATTGAAGTGTCCGTCAAATAACGTGATGTAAGCAAGACGAGAGTTGACGTAATAACTGAGCGGTCGTAATATCGAGGTGTCCACAAAGTGAGGTTCGACTTTATATTAGATTCCTTAATAACGAGGTGTCCGAAATATCGAGGTTTTTGAAAGGCGGGAGTTGACTGTGTTTAAGTGTCCGTTATATGGAGTGTTCGTATTATCGAGGTGTCCGTAAAGTGCGAGAGTTAACTGTATTCTTATATACCATATTTTGAAGGGCCGACAAGGTGACTCTGGTCATCGATGAGAACGAGGCAGCCACAAGCTCAGCAGGTGACAGATTAAACTGCCCAGCGTCACGAGCATGCGCAGTAGATACCGCTAAAAATCGACCAAGATTCTAAAAATGTAGTCATGACTTCATCGATATTTTAAACGCACGGAGCTATACCCTACAGAAACGAAAAGACAAAACTCGACGTGCCTAAGTAACGGCAAAACTTCTTCAAGCTAACAGAAAAGGTATTTCAAAAGGTTGTTTTCCTGTAATGATGTCATTGATCATAAACCGTATACGAACGATTCATGTAGATCAAATACATCGACCTATGCATTTACCTTATATTTYATATCAAGGTATTCATACATATAAGACTAAGGTGCTATCAGTAAGATTATTCATGTTTTTATTCAGTTGATTCAGGGTCTTTGGTAAAAGCCATTTCAAAGTAAATTATTTTTACTAATCAAAACTACCGGTTATAATGTTTGACCATGTTTACGATTGGCACGCTTGAATGAAGAGAAAACTAAAGGTCAAAAACCTAATCTTACGACCTTTTSACARTGAAATACTTTCAAGATTTTTCTAGTGTAAACTGCATTTTTCACTCATTATAAAGTTGGTTTTATAACCATGAAAAAAAAGATTTACTTGAACGTAATTCTGTAGACAATGTTTATACATATGTTTATCCTAAGTAGGGCGTTGTTCAGAAAGCTTTACGTAAAGTTTATATCAAATCCATAAATATAGAACTTAAACAATTCCACAGCACTGACAGCCAGAAGACCTTTGTTCATTAGATCATAATTAGAATTGATTAATACTTCTCTTGTCTTAATAACTGTCAGTAATTGTCGCTGCAAGCGATGTAATATTGATCGTTCTATCCGATTCTTCTTATAAGCTGCCTTAAAGAGATAGACCATTTAAAACAACTGAATATGAATAAATATGAATCAGTTCGTCAAATCAACACGGTTTTTTTAAAGATTAACCACTGCAAATTAATTTCTGAATCAGTCGCTTCATACATTATTAGATACAGGCAATGTTTGCTTATATTTCAAGACAGGGCAGTAGGCGTGGTCTTTTCAGCCGTTATCCTCATGACATATCACATCACTGCATGAAATACATAAAACAAATACATGAATAAACTATAAATAAAGAATAAAAAAGGAGCCATTACCAAGTCTTCAYAACCAGTAACAAAGAGAGACCGACATTAACAGGAAATCTAGAAACAGGTGTATTGTAATATAAACTTCCCGATATTTAACAACTTTTTAGCCCCATCGTCCTTATAATGCTATCATAATCTAAATTTAAAGCACAGGTATTCGAGTATATTATTAATATCATGTATTTCTTCTAAGATACTAATGGCATATCGTTCTGGACGACAATATTTGGCAGTGCTATTATTGGCATGTCTAACAGGTAATAATATGAAGATTACCCAACAAGTCTGTGTGTGGAAAAACGTTGAGATTTTTCTTATAAACTCAATGGTATTTCTATTTTATTTATTTTTCTATTCATATTGTTGCTGTCGCTGTTATTATGCGGCGCACCTTTGACCGCAAAACATGGCTGCAGGCACAAAATAATTGTCGCGGAAAGTGAAAAATATTGAACATTATAGTATGATAGTATGGCTTTAATATGCTCTGCATTTTTTTTTTTTTTTTTTTTTTTTTTTTTTTSCTGCAACGTAATCCCAAAAATGYATTCCGMACGCAWTGATAAATATCATCATGCACTACAGACTTTAATGCTGTTTTATGGGCTGTTATGTCGTCTCCTTATGTACATATGTACAATTATAAGCATTTTTATACTGCGTTTAAATAGTCCCATCTATTAACGAATTGTTTCACTTTCTATTRCCTAGCCGCAAACGTTGACGAATCCGCGCAAGAAAATCCACAATGCCGTAACAGCGCCGTAAATTATAACGTAACATTAACAAATGGAGGCAAATCTGGAAAGTTTTACAAACTCGACAAAGTGCATAAAATCGATGACTGYATCAATACGTGCTGCGACAGCAAGAAATGCGACGTTGCTTTTGTTGTTAAGAAGACATGTTACATGGTAGAGTGTTATAGCAAGGAGTCTTGTGGTATACAGCAAGCTAATGAATTATCATTGGGTACAGTTTTATCGGTGGTAGCAAAGAAATCTACGATTAGTGGTTAGTATTATAAAAATTCTTAACTTCCAAAAGAAAAAGATCACTAATTGATGTATACAGTCAACTCTTGCTATTACGGACACCCTCGGGACCGTAATTTATTGTCCGCAGTAGCGAGAGTCCGTAGTAACGAGAATTACTTTCAGTCATTTCTTTGTATTTTTCGCCGGGTATTCAGTATTTTATAGTTGTCCGCAATATCAAGGTGTCCGTTGTAGCGGGGTGTCCGTAAGGCGAGAGTTGACTGTATAGGCAAAGAAATGGATAAAATGAGAAGAATGACGTTTATGAAGTGAGATATGAAAAAGAGGAATGGAGAAAGAAAGAAAGAAAATAATGAATAATCGGAGAGAAGGTTCAGGAGGGAGATAGAGACGATGTTGCTCTAAAACAGGGCACTAAATGAAATCAAGAACATATTGAGAGAGAAAGGAAGAAAAATAAAAAATAGGAGAAAGAAATTAATGACTTRAACTCCATATTTTCAGATAACGAAAAGGGGGCAGAGCCTGCCGTCGAAGAGAATTTAGCAGAGCAGGCAACAAGTCCTTATATAAAAGACGATGGAATGACAACAATCAGCGCTTTTGGAGTAAGTCGTCTGACAAAATCTTCTGTTTGTGACCGAGTCTGGAATRCATAGCACTAGGCTATTAAGTTAAATATCRGTACGCCCTAACTATATCGCAATTGGCGTCGTTAATATTTCTTCTGTTATCTTAMATAGACTGGTAAATACAGACGAACYAAGAGATCGTCSGACATWATCGACCTCGTGGTAGCGGTTGGGTGTGGTACAGTRGCAGTTGCGGTGGGCGTGGCAGGGGTTATAATGATGACAAGACGGTTGATTGACAATAGTAAAAACTCAGCGGCATAATGACTTCTACGAAAGAGACTTTTAGAAAATGCTCATAGCATTGGATGTATAGATGAATWTATTTCATTAACGTGTAAAATAAGTGTTCTACTATAGGGATGTAAATAATACCTAATAATAATAATTTAATATTAATTTATTAACTTACAGTGGTGACCATTTTAAAGAGGGAACCAAACCTTTGCATGAAGACGGAGGTAGATCGGAGCCTGCAGTACTTCATGTGTATAACCGCATGAGAATTGAGAAAAACTGCCTTCCGAAAAGTCGATAGAAACGCGATAAACTGATATAAAGAGAATGAATGCAAAAAWGAAATGAAATAGGATAAGTAGCAGGAGAAATGGAACTCTCAGTTAGCCATGACGCATATTGGTTATTGAACATCAGTTCAATTATAGCAACCTTTTTAAACGTGTTGTCTCTAGTTCTTATAACCATGTTTCACCTTTGAAACGTAAAAATGACTGAATGATATCTTAGTGATAAAAACGATAACTGAGTTTTATATCAGTTTAATTAACTAGACGTATTGTGTGAGTTATAAAAATAGCTCATTGTGGCCTACTGTAGCAACAGCTTCAAAGGAAGAATTATAARTCTGACACTGAAAAATACAATAAAATATTATTTTCATACATGGATTACAAATCGTCTTTTTATTTCTTCATATATTTATATATCATTATTATTGATTCATCTTTTAGTTGCTTATTTGTTTATGTTTTTCTTTATGCATTCTTTAATTATCTATTCTCTAAAAATATAAAAATAATTTCATTTATAAAAAGAAATACGGACCGTATATAGATCTACACACCCGGGAGAATGGACACTGTAGGTTGGTTAAGGAGTACCATGAAATAGTAGACGAGGGAAGAAATCAATGCGCGYTAACTGATGGAAAAGAACACAGAAATGCAATAGTCAGTTTTGCACGTTTCGTTATGTTGTTATTTTACTATGTACGCTGGACGGCTAAGCGCGGGCTCTAGTATCGATATTGTAGCAGAGAAGAAAGGGATTAGTCCTCTGTTTTGTGTAGAAGTAAATAGGTGTATATACATTTAACCTGCCATTCCTTTCTCTCTCGACTGGTATCACATTGACAGAGAACTGGTTTCTACCAAAAGAAGAATTATAAAATAACAACAGACGAAGAAAGTCTTAGCAGGAATTCGTCCTAACTTCGTTATTAAAATAAAATATATAGAATACTTTCCAAAATATGTAGGAATTCAACTATGTTCTCGGTGGTTTGTTGCGTGGTTTAGAGTTCAAATGATCTCTAATAAATTATTAATATTCTTTTAGAAGCTTTGTTAAAAATAGCGCAATGACGTAATAGAAAAGCAAATCTTTATGGGGACTTCTTGACGGTTTTCTCTTTTGAGAAATGAAATATTAGGAATAGAAAAACCAGATATGATATGAGAGGATTGTCATGAGGACTGACTCCATTTCAATGTAAGTACTTATGGTCCTATAAAGGAAGATTTTATAGGCAAAATAACATGTGGTTGTGTTATCAATTGTGTTGGGAATTTTATGGTTGAATAGCGAGTTAAAGCTGGCTTATTAGCGGTGAAATTGTCAAAGAAAAAGGACAAACAGTTTGTATATAATACAAATCACGTTTTTATAAGTGCTGATAAGRCCCATGAGTGAAGTATGAATTATAACATTGATATTTTGATCGCACACCCTCGATAAAAATAACCATGATTTATACGTGAAACTCGGGTGGTTTTGGAAATTCTAGTTAATTGATAAACCAAAAAGTCACCCAGACGCTAAAGTTAAACTTGCAAATCTTTACATTGAGTTCTTTTATCATGAACTGTAAGTATATAGCTAATGTGTTATAACAAGGATAGATATTAGAGTCAGTTATTAGTCTACTATACAGTGTTTTAGGAAAAGATCGCACATGCTAAGACATACACTTTTCCCGTACGTGCAAAACTGCATAACATTTCGAAATTTGATTTCCACAACTGAAAAGAAAGCTGGAAATTTAAAGGGATTTACCGATAGTAGAGAAATGCAACTTCCTTCGTTATTTTTAACTAGAAAAAACAAGTCATATAGAAACACATTATAAGTTCTATAAGTATGAATAAAGTACAGAACAGTAGTAATACTTAGGGCGTTGTCAGTACTCATCTGATCTCTCTCACTTACCATAATTTAACGTACATTCTTGTACATTCAGAATCAGGCCTGGATTTTTGGCTGTCAGTTATCTAAATACAAACAAAATAAGACGAGCTAAAACAAAACATTGCTTGTCCAAACGTGATAGTAACTTGCAGCGTGCGTTCATAATAGTTTCAAACATTTATCGTTACAATTTATTAGATAATAAAACGCTTCAGACAGAAAGTATCTAGCTGAGACCGAAATACCGCATGTGATGTTATTATATATAGGGAATGATCAAATATGCCGGGATGATCCGTGGGATCAAGTGAAGATGTTTTACTAAAATCATTCAGATCATACATGTAATATTGCAACAAACATTTTACCATAAACGTAAAATCCAGCTTCTCTGATCTCACTTGAAAATGCTGAAGATTTTCTTAGATCGTTTGCGTCTTGCAAATTATTRCAGGAAACCGTAACAAAAAGAAACTCGACGAAAGATGGATTCACTAACGTGCTTCCTGTGGGTGCTCGCGAGCRTTACAATTACCACAAACGCACAAGGTAATTATTACTTTGAAAATGTTATAAGGGGGGRCTCCCGACTAAAAGTACAAGCATCCCCGGTACTTTTTTCCCGGAGTCCCCCCCCCTCCCTCCTCCTCTCCGGGATCAATCCGTATCTGTGTTATCATGGTGGACACATCTTTGTAGGCGGTTTAAACGTCATTTCTCATTCAAATTGTTTGATGAGGTTGAAACTAAACCAAAATGATTGATTACAGCTGGCAAGATGAATTTACAGATGATAATAATGAAATCAATGATAATCTATATGGAAGTAAATAATGTTTTCACTTATGTTTCAGTTTTCCAGTATTTCCTGGTAGACCAAAAAGGCGAGAATGCCAAGGTACTAGACACAATYAAGCTYCCRACATGYACCCATCTCGATATAAAAAAGGGCGTGACGCTACGACGAGGAATCAACGCAGGGCATTTTAAAAAGCTCGGGGTGGTGCGTGACATGCAAACATGTGTAGACGCCTGCTGTCACGATTCAAAGTGTGACGTAGCTTTTATGCCTGGTAACATGTGTTATTCAGTGAAGTGCTTCTCTGACGCTTCATGCGAAAGTATTCCTGCGATTCCTTCCATGGCGGCGAATGGTAGCGTGCAAATCTCGCATATTGTGAGGGGAGGAGGGCAAGGCGACAATTTGGAAGAATTTAAGAAGAACCAAGGCATTGGAAAATACGGTAAGAACGGAATGTGTGAATGAATAATGAATGAGTAATTGAATAAATGAATGACAGAATGATTAAAAAAATGAACGAATAGGAAGACTGAATGAGTAAAAGAATCAATGAGCGAACATTATCACGAATGATTTCCTCGTAAGTTCTAATTTACTGTTTGGAAATAATTTGCGCGGTAAAATTACCAGAGATGATAATAGTGTTGCCTGCACAACTATAACACAACTGTTCATGTCTTTTCAGTAACAAAGAAGCTACATCACTGTATTCCCAGTAGAATAGCTTATAATTACACACTAAAAGGTGGCAAAAACGCAGGCAATGTGAAGGAGCTTGGTAAAGTAGGCAGTATATACGACTGTATGGATAAGTGCTGTGAAAGCGATACCTGCGACGTGGCCTTCTTTCTGAAGCAGAAGTGTTACACAGTTGAGTGCTTCTCAGAGGAGTTGTGCCAAAGTGTTCCTATCAGGAATGCAAAAACATTTAATCCAACGATTGTTTATATGAATAAACGAGATGATGTAAGGCAGAAACACAAAGGTAAGATGATATGTTAACGTAAGGTTAAAAAAGCTTGATTGATTGATTAAATTTATTGATTTACTGATTGTATGGTTGGTTGACTGATTGATTGATTGATTGATTGATTGATTGATTGATTGATTGATTGATTGATTGAATTTATTGATTTACTGATTGTATGGTTGGTTGACCGATTGATTGATTGATTGATTGATTGATTGATTGATTGATTGATTGATTGATTGATTGATTGATTGATTGATTGATTGATTGATTGATTGATTGATTTGACTGATTGATTGATTAAATTTATTGATTTACTGATTGAATGGTTGGTTGACTGATTGATTGATTGATTGAATTCATTGATTGATTGACTGCTTGATTGAATGGTTGGTTGACTGACTGAGTGATTGATTGATGGATTAATTTGGGCAATATTTTTACATGTTTTACATAATTATAGACTTCTGCAGCACCCCTTGTGTCMATGGTCTGTGYACTGGTGAAGACCATTGCCTATGTGATCGAGGCTATGATGGCAAAGACTGCAACTCCACAGCAACAATAGGTAACAATATCACACTATATCCATTCAAAACAACTCAATTCATAGACCCCAAAATGAATAAACTGAGTTTTATTCTTAGTGAACATAATTTAAGAATTCTGTAAACTTTTTATTTTAGGCTTTTGTGGTTTTAGTGGCTGTGGAGTTTATGGACGCTGCTTACATAATGACACATGTCACTGTTCTATGGGGCACTATGGCAAAGCATGCAATGAAAAAYGTGGGTAGCAATGCATAACGACCCAATATAATAACATTATCATGTTGCATCAATATCAGCCTGCGTAGCAAGACCTTCCTAGCCATTCCGAGAACGTTTTGGCTGAAGAAACCCCGAAACTCTCTCGGAACAGCTAGGAATGCCTGGCTACGCAGGCTACAACAATATTGTCATCAGCATCATTTGATGATTATGACATCATATCATTGCTCCACATCCTTATCATACCGAGTCATCAACTATATTTACATGTATAAAGCATGATCTTATGACAATTACCTTTCCACAGTGACTTGCCATCCTCCCTGCCATAATGGAGTGTGCATCAACAACTCTACAGAAGCAAGAGAATGTAAATGTTATATTGGATGGGAAGGAAAACACTGTAATATGTCWACAGGAGGTAACATAATGTCGATAGATCGATCTCTCTTTGATTGTTAAAGGGACATGGTCCACCAGCATCCCTTTCGAGCTTTTGTTTATGTTTGAAAATAGAAATACATCGTAATATAAGCAAAAACTTACTCCTTATTATTCCTTTATACTATATAAATGTAGATGCTTTAAGATTCGACCTTTAATCCGATGGATGGAAACGGATTGCGAATGGATATTCGAAGTCACCTCATTTTCCATATATGAAAAATCTAAAACATGACCGCATTGCATGCTAGTGGACCATGTCCCTTTAACAATTRCTAACTGAYAAATGAATAGATGAATGAACAAATAAATAAAAGGATGGAAGGATGGATGAGGAAATGTTCYTTTATACTAGTTGCTGACTTACAGCATAGGTGTAGCTTGTTCCATGTCAAAAACTAATTTTTAACAATTCCATTTTGATTATAGCTACAATTGTTAGTTCAAAAGATGGAGAGGAAGTCCTCTTTACCAAAATGAGTGAAGAAACAGATTTACAGGTAGGACTGTGTATAATACATAGATACTGTTTCACAATTAATATCACTTCTACCATAATAGATACTTACAATGAATATCAATAAAAACAAGATTGATTGTCAAGGAAATGTCATAAACCAAATGATGATGATGATGAGAGACATGATTAAGATGTAGAATGATGATGATGATGATGATATAGATAAAGTCACTTTAGGTCAAGCATTGATCATAATATTAATTAATATTAATTGATATTAATCATTATCACCTGATGATATTTTAGATTCATGACCTCTCAGGATCAAAYTCAGCYGARTCAATCTCAGCCCTTGCAGTCGCAATAGGCTGTGGTGTTGCTGCAGCAATTGTCGGCACAGCAGCTGTTGCCCTGGTCGCAAGAAGAGTCCTGGGTAAAAAAACAACAAATTATGAACTGTTGCGAGAACCAATCAGACATCGCATGTAACCAGGACAAAATAATATGCACATTTAAAAATTGTATAAATTTATTTGCATTTCATATTCYMRATGTGCCATGAACAAAATTGCCTTGATCCTTTGTGGCACATGCATAAATTCTTTACTATACACAAGTCAAATCTAATACTCTAATCTTTTTATCTTTGGAAACTCATATTCAGACAAAAAAATGTGTAAAACAATGGATGAGGGATTTTAGGAATGAAGTAAAGAATGAATGAATAAGTAAACAAATGAATGAAATCTTGTGAGAAAAGTCTACCTTTAGTGACAAATGATAAATGGATTAAAAGAGAAATTTAGAGTTCATTCATGCCAAGAACAGTACAACAAGTGGATATCGAATAGGTGAAATGTATATAATATTTAGGAYTCCACATTTATTTCATATTCTAAAGAAGAATTTCAAGTGTATCACTTGGGTATAATTTTTTAATTTTAATTATGTGTTAACCAGAGCATGCACACAATAATCATAATGCTTATAACATAGACAATTGCATACGTCTTACTGCGCAACCAAGATTACACAAAGTACTATGTACAGCCTTGAAAAACATTTTTATCCAATAAAATGAGGGAAATACATACATTTTAGTGTGTCATTCTTGGGATTGTCAACAATGACTATTATGAGAATAATGAGAATTTAACAGAATGCCATAACAATGCCTTAATCCTGAGCTAACATTTGACTATTTGAAAGCAAGGAGAATATGACAAGAAATAATACAACAATATGTGTTATATAGCAAGGCGATGCAATAACTATAAATAGCATGAATACAAAGGATCAAGGTATTACTCCATTCTGATTGGTTCTCATTAGTTCATTACATTTAATAATTAGATAAYAATTTATCGCTTCCTCCCAGTCTCTACTCAGCTCTTTCCAAT